GCAAATGCACTAGATATTGAAGCAGATTCACTAATGAACTTCCAAACCAATGCAAATGAGATAGTGAAAGGGGAATTACCAGCTTGTTTGTCAATGCCTTGTATGAAAAAGCTATCACTTACGAACCAAAGCAAAAATACACATTGTTGACACAAAAACTTTCTAAATCCAAATTTCTAAAAAGAGGAAATAAATAACTTCAAGGAGATGAAATCAGAAGATGCTCAACCCTAAAGCAAAATCCAATAAGACACAGATAGGATGGAGGCTAGGAAAGAAAGATTGAGAGGTAGTAGAAAAGAGGAGACAGAAGAGAGCATTTTATTTTCACTATACTATCCAAAGAGTCGAACTTATTTCTGGGATTTGTTAGCAGAAATAACCATTACACACAGCCTAGGACAGATATTGTATCATATCGTAATCATGTTTCATTCAGTCATGCATTTTCAAGTAACAAAGAGATCTTCTTAAAGAATCCACGTGATGAAAGAAATTGATTTAGGTTAGTATAATGTAAATAAACAAACCTTAACATGATAACTGACATATGCATGAAATGTTGACAAGCTCCAAATTACACGGTCGATCTTTTTCCCCTCTACATGCCGAGGGAAAATTACTGCATTCAATAAAGCAATTGCAGTTTAGAATATGGAATAAAAAAAGAAAACTTGTAAAACTAGCACCACTTACGGACATTACCAAAAGTAACAAATCCCGCATTGGCTGATAATGCATCATTAGGAGCTCCCTTCAACTCTTGAGGAGGAGATGGAGACCATGAACAAGGAGGGGCACTATTGAGTCCAGAACTTCGTCTTGCTTCTACAAACTCCTGAACAGACATAACGTGGAATTTCACAACTTGGTCAATGAAAACATGTCCTAAACAGACAGAAGCATAACTTCAGGAGTGCTATCATTAGAAATACAACATTAGAATATCCTGTTAAGGAACTAAAGAAGTCCTGGTCAGGATTATACACAAATATATGGCACCCTAATTTTTCATAAAGAAAGTTAAAGTTGTCATTTGCAAACTTCTATTCACTTGATGGGCGAATAAATTATGACCTTACCTGGAGAAAAGAAGTTGCAAGAGCAATGTCTATAGAATCCTTAAATCTCATCGGATACACCACAATTACCTTTTCGGCCTGTTATTACCAAAATTTTAATCTTGTCAAATAAAAAGTTATCTATTTAAGTCACGATATGAGTAAATGATGAAATAAACTGAGCAGGGACGATTACAAGGTATCAAATGTTTCATGTTACATCAGTATAAACCAATCCAGCACAACGAATTACCAATTAACTGCTAGCAAATGCAAGTAAGAAATAAAGACAACATTGGAAATAAGAACAATGCACAAAAACAACAATGTCTTAAATAAAGCCTTGTTTCAATTACTTTTCCTTGTCTCATACTTCATTAGACTAAACTTCTCATAAATTAAATTTGTATCATTATTTTAGGTTCTGGTCCTTGCCTCACTAGACCCTGCTCTTATTTTTGTATCTTACGTTTTAGCTCCCAAGGATTATTCCACCTCAAGCTTTAAAAACAGCAGTAAATATTGTCCTAAATAGTAAAAGCAGGAGCAAAATGATCCTACTACCTGAGGTACAAGAAAAAATGATTCTTTTGGACGATGTACAAGTGCAACAAGCCTATTGACATCAGAACCAATAATCCTCGACCCGAGTTGTTTAAGAATTACTCTTAATGGAGCACCAAGTACCACTTCCCTAATCGATGCAACTTTTACCAAAGTAGTGTGCCTATTATCTGCAAGAAATTAGTAAAAAAAGCATCAATTATAAAGCTCAAGCACAAAAACCTGATAACTAACAGACAAATAAAAAGTAGAAAACTCCACAAAAGTTAATGCTCTCCTACATCCGTTTAGCTCAATAAACCGACAAACATTTAAGCTTACTTAGGTTGCAAAATTGTTCATAAATGAGTTTTAACAAATAGTACTGACAGTTACTCGATCTTGTCGTAAATGGACAAAAATCATATTGAAATAATAAAGGAAGAATTACAATACTCCAACTCCAAGCGCTTTGAAAGGTATAGACACTCCTACCCAAGCACTTCGAGAGGCTTGGCCTGTCCAAAATTAGTCTTCCAAAATTTTCTAATCCTTTCTCTAACTCCCTCTATTTATACTATTTAACCCTAGGTAATTAGCACGATCCTACAACTAAAATCCTAATAACACCTCCAATATTTCCCTGCTAATACTCTTTAACATATTCCAACCTACGATTTTTCTCAATGGAGCTCAGGGGAAATTCCGAAATATTAACTTCCCAAACAAGTATATTCTCTGCAAGGCAGTAGTGAAAGCCATGTGCTAGGAGACTAAAGAATGATACAGATAACAAGAAGAAATACTCAAAAAAATAAATGAATAGCCCATTTTTCTGCAATGTCCACAACAATTTATAATGACCTTAAAAATAAAACGCGATAAACCTTCATCGTGAGGAAGTTTCGAAAGATTCAACTTTAATGTGAGATTAAAACCATCTCTTGGAGGGTCAAGAATCTGTACAAGCACGCCATATGCAGCTTTAATTGCTTCTATGGCTCCAGATGGGAGGCCACCACAAAAAACAGTATCTGCAGAAGGGATGGGCAATGATACAGATAGCAGGAAGAGATGGGGGTTCTTCATTGAGACCTACAAAACAATACAGATCAATCATAGACATTAAAACAAAATTCAATCTGCTTCAAAATTATGAAAACAAAATAATAAAAATCACCTGGACATGGTAGCGCACATCATCAAATTCCACCCAATTGTAATCCACTTCCACGGCTTTCTCAAGACTGAAATAAACAAGAAAAATATCAGACATTTAGGACAACTAAATTACATAATTAAATATCCGAGTTCATGGCTGGACATGGAAAAGTGACGAAGTCTGGATCGGAAACAGATAAAAAGGAACAAAAACCTACTTCTGCACCCGATTTAACAAAGTCTGGAGCAGAAATCTGGAGTGTGACTGCAATAGTATCATCGATTACAGCTTATCGGTGACTCTCCCTGCAACTGAGTCGGACAGATAGATCTAGAATTGCGAAATCGAGGACCGGAATGGAATCTCACAATGTCGTGTGGCTGAACGTTTCTCCTCTCCAGTCTACAACGCCAAGCTATATGCCCAAATGCGACCAGCACAGCACTTCTTGGCGATTTCTTCTCTTTCTTTCTTTATTCTTTTTTTTTTTTTTTTTTTTTGGCGTTAATTTCTTTCGTTAATATAATGCGCATTATCACATATGGTTCTTTAGTAAATAACCTAATATTTAAGGGCGAAATTAAACTAAGCCATCTTTTTAAACCCTTTCTTTGTCATAAAAAAAAAAAAAAAGTTCAAATTAAGATTTATTAATACAGAAGGGGAGACCGTAATGTTTTATAAATAAGAACCTCTTTGAATTAAATAAATAAATAATAATAAATTTCTTTAAATTTTTTTCTGAAAAATAATCCATTACATAAAATTCCAGAGAAACTGAACAGAGAGTTTAAATCAATATTGGTTCGTTCTCAAGCAAAAAGCGTTCACATTAACATGAACTCATTTTATGAATGAAATAAATTTGTGTACTATTTGAAAAAATATATATAAATGGTTATATCGCTAATTTTTCGACTGTTATTATTTTGTTTTTATATTATTTATATCAACCATTTTTCAATATAATTCTTCTCTCTTTTTTTTTTTTTTAATACAATTATTGGTAAAAAAATAATAATAATAATAAAAAAAGCGAGAGCATATTGCACGTAAATCCACCATTGTTTCTCGACCACCCTTTTTCCCTTCCCGCTTATTCGACCGCCGAGCCCGTCCATGGTCTGGCCCACGTCGTCATCCAAATATGGCCCACTGGGCCCATTTAGCACTTAACTAATGGGCTCTCATGAACGATTACAAAGTAATTAGCCACTACCGCCTGCAGACAATAAACTTCCCTAGTTCAGTAAGCATTGCCACTAAGCTAGTGTCATTCTCGTAATTAACAATAACTTCTCGGATTCCCATAATTTTCGAATCATGAAGCAAAGCGTTACTTCTCGTTTCGATGCGGAGAGAGAGAGAGGAAAAAGAAAAGGTGGAACTCCGTTGAATTCCATTTCTCTTCTTCTTCATCATCTTCATCGCGTTTCTGCAAAGCCACTTTTTCTCTCGCTTTTTTCGCCGAAGCTCTCTGCTACTTTGAGTTCCTCTTTTGATTTTTTTTTTCTGGTTTAGTAAATTATTACGATATCTCTGACACGATGTCGGATTGGGCGCCAGTGGTGATCGGAGTTGTTCTGTTCGTGCTGCTTTCGCCAGGGCTTCTGTTCCAGTTCCCGGGGAATAATCGGCAGTTTGAGTTCGGGAGTATGAAGACTAACGGCAAAGCTGTAGTCATTCATACTCTCATCTTCTTCATCCTCTATGCCGTCTTCATTCTCGCTCTTCATGTCCACATCTACTCTGGATGATCCGGTAACCTCTTCTTCTCGTCCTTCTTCCGTTTTCATTCGAGATTCTTACGAACTGAAGCTGCTGCATTCCTAGTGGTGTTTGTGCCTTGTGTGTTGTTGTATTTCTGTTTGATGCGGATCTTGTTTGATCTGTTTGTATTTGCGATTTCTGTAGTCGAAGACTCGGAGGAGATAGAAGGCATTCTGTATGTTTATTTCGTTTTACTTACGCCTTTGGTTTCCATTGCTAGTATAGATCTAATTGCATCGAACGCTGGTCTCTGTAGCTGCTCTATCTCATGGAGAATCTTCTTTTTTGTCTCTCTTTGTTCTTCGATTTAATAAATTCAACGCATCTCAAGTACAAGATATTCGTCCTAGTGCGGACAGTCTGGCTAAAATTTTGTTCAAATTTGGTTTGTTCCATGGTAAAAGCAAGCTAGTAAAGGATATTATCGATTAGTTAGGAAATAGGGAAGAATTTTGCTCAAGATATTCAAGGAATTACCGTGAGAGTATTTACAGAAGCTTACCTTCTTTATCAACCCCCCAAAAAGAATTGAAATTATAGTTTACATTTAGCAGATTACAATATAGAAAGGTGTTGTTCAAACGGAAAAAGAGAACAGGAAAATGGAGCAGAATCGAGAGAAATATGCTAAGTCCTAGAGAAAGTGGAAACAAAAGGAAGCAATTCATCTGCTGAAGGTAGCCAAAGCAGATGATTGAAAGTCAGTTAACGTGTATGTGAATACCGATAGCGATGACCAAAATGGTGAGTATGCAGAAGAAAATGATAGCGTGCACCAAAATGGCAATCCCACTGGTATTCATATTCCCAAACTCCACCACCCTGATTCTCGCCGGCAACTGAAAAAGCAACCCTGGTGACAGGACAATGAACAGCGCCACCGCCACGACAACCGGTCCCCAATCTGCACTCATCTCAATCTACAAGAGGAGGAGTGTTCTGAAGTAGTGGAGTTCTTCTTCAAGTTCTATAGAGAGAATTGAAGGTTAGAAGTAGGTGAAAAGAAAAGAGGGGTTATAAGGGTGAACGAGCTTGTTGATTTGCTTAGCAAAGAAGGAGCTTAGGGGATGCCAAACTTGGGGAGAAAGAAGAGAAAATGGTTTATAAGCAAGGGAAAGTCATGTTGATGAGTCGAAGGCAGTGGATCTGCTTTATGAAGATGGAAAGAAAAGGATCTGTATTGAACTGCACTTTATTTCTTGCTTTAGAGATGTGTGAGGAAGGTGGAGGGTGTTTTGTTTAAAGAAAACGGATGTGTGGGCGAAGTGTAAAGGTGGAGGGTTGTTTTAATTGTTTCTTTACAGCAAAGGCTTTGGAAGGATTGCCATAAAAGATGATTAAAGCTTGTGGAATTCATTGTACCATGATGCAGGAATGAATATGATTTCAGCAGACAGATTGGACTTCACACACTTTGGTTGGGTAATATAGAGAATATATGTGCTTTGCCTTTTAGATTTGTTACTAACGAATTGGTCTATTATTTTCTTCACCTCTACAGGCAATCATCATCATTCCTCTCTTCTAAAAAGGGGTACCAATTAAATAAAGAAATGAGCATTTGTTTTGAAGTGATTAAATCAGGTAATGACCATGTTGATTTTAGTCATTTTAAAATTATTCTCGAACACATTTTTTCTTTTCATTTTTTTATGAAAATAAGAACTAGTCCTAAAAAAATCTCTAGCATTTTGATTGAAACCCATTGAATTATAAACATATTGTTAAAATTTCAGTTGAATTGGACCACAAAATTGTTTTTTTGAACGAACTCTTTTGTTCAAACTTACAAAATTTATTTTCTTTCCTTTTCTGTTTTTTTTATTTTTTTATTTTTTATTTTTAGCGGCACCCTTGCATTTCTCTTGTTTTTTGTACTGATAACAGAAAACACATGAATTTATTTATTTCTCGTAAATTTACTATAAGATTTGAATCTCTTATTCCTTAATCGGTATTACGTATTGGGTTCGTTTTAATAAATACAATTAATCAATAACTTTAAATTTAATAATTTGAACATATAATGAAAAAAAAAGAGATAAATTATAAAAACATGAATATGTCATGAAAAAATAATAATGAATATTGAAAAAACTAAAAATTTTGTGAAAATAACCTAAATTTCTTAAAAAAGAATAAAGAAAAAGCAAGAGAGTGAACAACTGTACTAAATTTCCTACCAATTTCTTAATCACTAAGGTAAGTTATTACAAGTTTAATTTCTAAACATCTTAAAAAAGGTATAGTTTCTTAGCTTAGAAGTACTTAATAATTCCATACATATGAATATCGAACTCTATAACAGATATTTGATATGTTGGAAATGGAAAATTACACTTTCACGAGAGTTCTAAGCTTAACTGTGAATTGAAGCTACAAAAAATAATTCTTCAAATTTTGGTCCACCTTTTAACTTTAAAAAAAAAACAAAAAATAGATATTTAATCTTTGCTTGAGCACATATAAATATCTTGAGAGAATATTACTCAAAATGGCTCCACTTTGGTCAAGTCTTGACTCATAATATTAATCAAAATGATTCCTCATTCATGGCTTCTCTCGTACATCCACCTTATTATTACTTTTTATGATAAGAAACAAAGAGCATAGAATCTGAGCAAAATTTCAATAATTGAGCCTCAATTTTGAAGTAATTAATATATACATATTTAATATTTAGATAAAGATCAACTAAAGGTTATACATTATATGGATCATTTTAAACATAGTTACAAACCTATATAAGTATCTACAAATGCTTGCAACCAAAAAGATACAACTTTTATTGACCCTCTGCACCATATCATGCACCAAAGTTGCTTCTTCAGCTGATCGACCCCTCAAGTCTAAACCGTTCTTGCACAGACGATATATACATAGCAGCCTTCCGATCGATATGTTCGTCGACAACAACGCCATAACCGTTCCAAAACTTAGCCTCGTGAACGTTCATGGCCTCATGAACAACCCTTTGGTTCGACGAAGCCATCTTCGCCCTCTCTTGGTGATGAACCATAAACGAAACATGACACGAACACGACGATGCGTTCAACAACGTCGCCGTCGGCTTCGTGTTTCTGCTGCTGGCCATAGCTTCTCCATGGGGCACAAGGGGTCTTGCTGATCTACACCTTGAATCCATTGTTTGTTTTCTTGATATTTTGTGTTCCAAGTGAGGAATGGGGTATTTATATACAAACCATCATGTGATATTTTAATGTTATCTGTCTCATGAACAGATTGGAGATGGATATGAGAGAATTTTTACTGTATTTTGGTGGGTCTCCACCAAGGGAGAAAACAAATATCTAAAGCATAATATTCAAAGATTAATGTTCTTGAAAAGCTAGATTGGTAAGATATGGAAGAAAAGCTTGGTTTTTTTTATACTTTTAAGAGACCCAATATAGAGTTAATGACAGTTTTTACATTAATGGAATATAGATTAATGCATAATGATTGTATTAAAATAAAATATTAGCGGTAATCTCTTGATTAATATTTGTGGTTTGGAGAATCTATGCTCTTTTTGAACAAAGAAAACCACTTTCTTTCTTCAGCCTCTTACAACTCTATTCATTTCCTCTACCTTGGCCAAAATAGTTGAACGATTCGTCTTTTAAAGTGGGATTAATAAAAATTTGTGAGATCTCGCGTCGGTTGGAGAGAAAAAGAAACATTTCACCCCTCCTTCGTAGATGCGTTTTAAAATTGTGAGACTGACGGCGATACGTAACAGGCCAAAACGGACAATATCTGCTAGTGGTGGGCTTTAGCGGTTACAAATGATATTAGAGTTAACACTGGTTCGTGTGCCAGTGAGGCCCAAGGGGTGGATTGTGAGATTCCCTATCAGTTAAAGGAGAACAAAGCATTTCTTGTAAGGGTGCGGAAACCTCTCTTTTGTAGACGCGTTTTTAAACCGTCAGACCGACGACGACGATACGTAACAGGCCAAAACGGACAATATCTACTAGTGGTGGGCTTGAGATGTTACAAATGATATTAGAGCCCGACACCAGATAGTGTGCCAGCTAAACCCATGGGGTGGATTGTGAGATCCCCTATCAATTAGAGAGGGAAACAAAACATTCTTTGTAAGGGCGTGGAAACCTCTACTTAGTAGATGCTTTTTAAAATCATGAAAATGAATAATAGGCCGAAAGTAAATAATATCTACTAGTGGTAGATTTAGACCGTTACAAAATTAAATTATTCATAAAATATTAATAAAATTTCAACGCTTTTGATTTAAAATTTAATGATAAATATATTTTTGAACTTTTTTATTTTTATTTTAAAAATTGAAATAATTTGATGTTTGAGAAGGGGATTAAGCCCAATTAGGTTGGTTCGTCGTCTGGCTGCCATGGCGAGCTTTGTATGTGGTTCAAAGTTGTAGATGCACGCGACTCCTTAAGGTATAGAATGAACTACAGATTCCTTTCAATTTCTCCTTATCTTCTTTTCCGAACTCAAGCCATTGATTAGTTGCAGTCTCTCAACTCTTTCCTTGCCTGGATTTGTTACCATTTTAGCAGCTATCTCTGTTGCTGTTCTTTAAATTTAGCTTAATTTAACGTTTCTACCATAGCCTATTCTATTCTAGTTGACGTAATCAAGATTGACCTATTTCATTTCGTTATAATTTCTTTCAATCTTGCGCCTCATCGAGTTTATTTTGATGGGTAGTGCAATTTGGTGGAATGTGGATGTTACTGTGAAACTTGATTAGGTTACCAAGTCTATTCCGGACTCTTGTAAGGTTAGGGGTTCAAGCTCTGATATCGAGTGCTAGCAAGACGCAGGGCTCCAAAGAGGTAGATCGTGAGATCCTACATCGGTTGGAGAATGAAACGAAACATTCTTTATTAAGGCGTGGAAACCTCTCTCTAGCAAATGCGTTTTAAGAATCTTGAGGGAAAGCTTGAATGGAAAAGTCCAAAAGGACACTTTCTGCTTATGGGTTTGGGCTGTTACACAAAGATTTACTTTGAGAGAAAAAGGTATTGTATTCTTCTCTGATTTCACAGTGTATGTTTGTGTAATATAGCATGACAAAGGATTCACTCTTCTGCTTTGCTTGTTAATGGCTTGGTTTCTAGCGGCAAGCTTGGCTGCAACATGGGTGAATTTCAACTTATGGGGAGGGTTTGTTACGATTTATTGCTACATGGATGAATTTTTGAACTAGGATCTGAGAGGAGGGTTTGATTTAACATATCACTTCAACCCCTTACCATCTTTTTAAGCTAACTAATTGTGCTGACCATATATAGTGAGAGGAAGGCAATGTGCTATACTTCGTAGTAGACATTCTTCAATCTTGAGTCGAGTTGTATTATGGGTTTGTGATTGGTCCGATAGCCAGGGAATGTAGAAAATAAATTAAGGGGTGTTGTTTAGAATGATGAAAAGTAATTAGAAACGTTTTCAAATTTATCATGAAGGACTTGTCTACCTTAGTTGTAACAGTTTGAGGCCACCGCTAGGAGATATTGTCTGCTTTAGCCCGTTACGTATCGCTGTCGGCCTCACGGTTGTAAAACGCGTCTATTAGGGAATGGTCTCCACACTCTTATAAGGGATGTTTCGTTTCCTCTCCAACCGATGTGGGACTTCACATTTGCCCTAAATTTTATGGAGATTACACAAAGCATTTCAGCCTGACTGACCCCAAGATTTATTCTCCATTTTGTTAACATATTTCTAACCTGGACTTCTCCCCTAAGATCTATTCTCAGTTTATAGCACACACATATACTTAATTATCTTTCCCACATTACTTTCCTCGTCTGTTGATTTTTGGAGTTTTGAGTTAATTCTTGGACCAAGTGGAAGTGAAAAAACTTTGCTGGTTAATTCTTGTCCTCTTTTGTCCATTACATATCGCGGTTAGCCTCACGGTTTTAAAACACGTCTACTACTATGGAAAGAGTCTAGTCCTACTCTGACCATGACTAGCGGAAAAACTTTGCAGGTTAATTCTTGTCCTTTTTGGCCCCCCGTTACATATCGCCATTAGCCTCACTGTTTTAAAACGCGTCTACTATGGAGAGAATCTAGCTCTACTCCAACCAATGTTTCGCATCGTCCAATAACAAGCTTTGATAACATTTGTAACAACTCAAGCTCACCGCTAGCAGATATTGTCTTGTTTGGGCAGCTCTTCTAGGATTCTCCTCAAAGTTTTAAAATGCATCTAGTAGGGTGAAGTTTCCACACTCTTATTAGGAATGTTTCATTTCCCTCTTCCACTAACGTGGGATCTCACACATTTGCTTTTTATTTACTTATTTGTTGATGTGTTCTTTACAAGTACGTTAATCTTTCTTCCCTTTCTTCTTTAGCTTCTCTTGCAGGTCTGAGCGAACCAACTTCAGGTTCCATTTATGTCCGAAAGTAGATAAAGATGGCAAACCATGTGAGTCAGTCTTCTCAACCGTTGACCCCTGAGAGAGAGTTGGCATTGTCCTTCAAATTCAAGAGAGGTATGGTCCATTTTTGTTCGCCAGTTGGGATTAATATTTTAAAACTAGTATACAATATTACTGAAGTATGATTATAAGAAACATTGCTAAGGGTAGGCTCCTTTAATTTCATAGAGCTGTGCGGTATTTCCTTTCCACACATATCACCAATTTTTGCTGCTATCCATCTTCCCTCCTTACTTGTAACAAAAGTATGTAGGGGAAGGACAAGGTTCCAAGCCAAAAGATGGGGATGAAGGACTTTTCAATCCCATCCTCAATGTCATTCTGCTCCTTACATTTAGCTCAAGAACGCTTCCATTACTTTCTTTACTAATGGAAGAAGTATTATTTCCTGCTGCTACTTGCTACTTTGTTCTTTGTTCTTTGTTCTTGATTCTTCCATCTCTGTTCATAAATGCTTTGCCAAACTTTTGTTGGATTTTGAAAATTTTGTACACTCTCCTCTTTCAACAAGATTCATTCAGAAGTATGATGGGCTTCTTGACTTCCACAATTAGATTGCCATTGCATTACTTCTCTGTCTGAATTCTTCTCATTCTGATGAAATCTTTTGCTTTTGCTTTAAAGTTTCAGCATGGGGCTTTTTTCTTGCTTTTGTGAGTTGTTACATGCCCTAACGATGGTGAGAGATTCTAATAGTCCAAGCTTATTGCTAGCCGATATTGTCTTATTTAGGTTTATATTGTCTTATTTAGGTTTCTTTTCCGGGCTCTCCTCCCCAACCGATGCAGGATCTCACAATCCACCCCCTTCAAGGCCCAACATTCTCGCCGGCACTCGTTCCTTTTTCCAATCGATGTGGGACCCCCCAATCCACCACCCTTTGGGGCCCAACGTCCTTGCTGGCACACCGCCTCGTTTCTACTCCCTTCGAGGCTCAACCTCTTTGCTGGCACATTGCTCAATAGCTGGCTCTGAGACCATTTGTAATAGTCCAACCCCACCGCTACTAGATATTGTCCTCTTTGAACATTCTCTCAAAGTTTTTAAGCGTACAGTGAGTCAATTTCCATTTTTATTCTTTACCCGTTTGGCAAGTAGCCCACATTCCCATACCCTAACATTCTTCTATTACTATATTCCAAACCCAGCAGCTGATTCTATTCCTATGGATGGAAAGGAAGTGTTTTGAGAATTATTTTTTTAAATACTAATTTTAAAATTTTAAATATTTAATATTGTTTCAAAAATACCTTTCAGCGCTCCAATTCTTATGAGTCCTATACTTATGTTTTATGAATTATCCAAATTATGAAAATGGAGTAAAAAGATTAAAAAGAAAAAAAAGAGAAGGAAAATATCTTTAGGAGGATCGCTCGCTGTCTAACCAAATTGAGAATATAAATATTAAAAATATCCTCCAAAAAGGTGTGAATGGGTTCGAACCGTCTCTTTCACGTCATCGTCACAGTAGCCAGCTCACACCCTATGAATGGGGTCCACAATATGCCGGTTTTACACCAAACCCTACCCGTTGCAGTGGTGTTCGAATTGGTACACATCATCACCAGACAGGTCGGCTTGTGAGATCTGCAATCATCTGAAACCACGTGTCAAACTGGGAATCATGCGCTCATTATCATCTTGTGTGTGCTGATGCACTGGGGATTACTGCCGCTCTTTTTTATTTTTTCTTTTTTCTTTTTCTTTTGGATTCTCCGCCCCCAAAATCCATAAAAGTTCACTTAAACTCAAATCTATTAAATTATTTTGGAGCATCTTAAAAAAAAATAAAAATAAAAATGAGCTATTTTATTGGTATGAAATCTTTAGGAGAAATAAATAAAAAAAACAAATCTACGGAAATTTATGCTTAAAAGTAAACAATATTATATGATTTGTTGACCCGTTACTTACATCTATTTGAGAAAGGTTTCTACTTCAACCGATGTGGGGTCTCAGAATTGCATGTCTAGTTGAAAATGAACTCGAGATTATGATAAGATTATGTTTTATCGGTATCCATATGAATTGGTTGATATAGAAGTGGGGTGAGGAAGCATTTGGATTTGGATAAAAGGATTGCAATTAGGAATGTTGATCTGTGTTATCCAAGTTATGTTGTTAGCGAAAGTCCACGTATATGGGTCGTTCATCACTCAGCTCTGTAACGGTCAGCCGCCAAATGCACCCTTGTTTTGTTTCAAGATAAGGCGCTTACCCACACACAGGATTTCTTTATCTTACATTTCCATTTCACACCTCCACCTTATTTCATTGGATGCATTCCAATTTCCAAATATCTCCTTTTATCTTTATCTTTTATCTTTTCCACGGCGTCTCAAAATTTAAATATTTATTCCGCTCAAATGTTAGAATTAGTCCATTCAAATTATTTATGAAAATTTTATTAAATTATAAAGACTAATCCTAAAATTTTATCAAACGATAAGAACAAAATTCTAACTTTTAAAATATCAAACACCAAATTTTTAAATTTTTAAATTTTTAAATAGTAGGGACCAAATTTATAAATTAATCATATTTCTATCACATTTTTATTAATGGACGAATATATCACAGTAAATACGTTTATTCTAATTATTTTTTTTTTTTGTATTTATTAATAATTTTTTATTGTCAACTTGAGTATGGCTTGATTAGTTAAAATATCGAGTCAAGTGGTAATTGATATATATTATGGATTAAGACGTGGAAGTTCGAATCTATTCGTTGTTGATGAAGTTAAAAATAAATAAATAAATAATAATAATAACCTAACAATTTTATATTATTATCCATAAAGTTGGAATTTTAAGCTGATGTTTTTTTTTTTTTTTGGGTCATATAATTTTTTTATCAAAAAGAAATTTGGTTGATAGTTATTTTTTTTCTATTTCATGTTTTATTTTTTAAAAAATAAATACAAACATGTCTGAACCATTATTATTGTTCCTTCAAATTTTATATTAAAAATGTAAATTTTATTTAAGAAATAAAATTTTAGAAATGCGATATTCTTTTTTGGGAATATTTTAAAACACAACGTTATTCACGCATTATTTTATTTATTTTTAAATATATTCTTTACTAACTTTTAAAAGTAGATTCACCTAGAATCGCACAATATTCTTAATAAAATTACAAATTTCAAATATATCAGCTTTTTTATATATCTATTATTTTCTCACATAAATAAACTTCTCTCTTAATTTTTGCAAATTTATTTTTTTAATAAAAAAATATAGCTATTTTTTTTTTCTATCTTTTAATAGTAAAGTTGTCTGATTTCGCTTTTTTAATTTTTCTAAAAAGAATTTATTCTAATAAAAATAATATCTATCTTTTTAATAAAAATTATAACTAAATAATTAAAAAAAATCCCATTATTGGGAGAAGTTTCACAATTAAATTAATAATAAGTTGGAGATAGCCTAATTTTCTTTTTAACATTAAAAAAAAAAAAACATTAGGGTTTGGGAAAGTTGGTTGGCGGCGTGTGTGCGGTGGAAAGTCAATAGTTAATGAGATTTGTTTAGTATCCTTAATCCAATAGTTAAACAAGGAATTAAAATATAATTATAATGAATTAAGAAAGGAAAGCATAAAAATAACGTGGGCAGATTACCAGTGGCTCACGCTGAAATTGCCGGCGAGATTAGCGGCAACTCTCCGACCAACCCCCCGCGGCTAAGACGACACGTGATTTGCAGCGCCCTGAGTGGTCCCTTAGAGCTGGGGCAATATCGCCATCAGTAATATCCACAAAATCTTAACTCTTCAAAAAGCTTCACTTCAATTCAATTCAATCCTTCCTCCCATCGCCATGGAAATGGATAGTCAAATCCTACAAATTAACAAACTAAGAACCTAAACTTCCATTGCCTACCCTAATTCCAACACTCCCTTTTTCTTCCCCCTCTTGTTTATTTCCCTTTCCCCCTTTCTCTGCTTCACTTTTAAGCCTTCCCCTCTCCCTCTTCTTGTCCTCTTCTTCCTGTTCTTCTTCTGTTCTTCCTCTTCTTCTTCTTGTTCTTGAGGTATTTGTATAAATTTTTTGTGGGTTGTTCTTTAAATCTGTTTTTGGGTGGAGATTTGAAGTGGGTTTTCTTTTTCCCCCCTTTTTCAAGCATGGACAGCGAGTATGATAAACTTATCAGGAGGCTGAACCCACCAAGGTACTCTTCCTTCTTTCGTCTTGATTTGGAAACGGTTTTGATTTCCCACCTGGAATTTGCTTCTGGGTTTTTGTGAGTCATGGTGTTCGAAACTCCGAGTTGATGTTTCTTCTTTCCAGATTTCTTGTTCTTGTTGAAATTTTGATGTTTCAATGTTGGTTGACTTCTGGGAGTGATATCAATAAGTTAAGGCAGTAGTGGTTTGATTCTTTTTGCTATCTATTTACTCGAGCTGATGTGAATGAACTTATGATTTATGAGTTTAGTAGCGGTTTGTTCTGTGAATTCTGATTTATTATATTCCATCTGTTCTTTCAGAGTCGTGATTGATAACAACGCTTGTAAGGACACTACAGTGATCCAGGTGCTTGATCTTTAAGTTTGCTCTGTAATTATTGCTTCCTTTTGTTTATTCAATCAGGAGCTAAAGATTGCTCCAATCCTTTTCTTCTACCTATCAGGTTGACAGCATGAACAAACATGGGATTCTCTTGAAAGTTGTTCAAGTCCTCATGGATATGAACTTAATCATTACCAAAGCCTATATCTCCTCTGATGGAGGCTGGTTCATGGATGGTTAGTAATTCTGACTGTTTAAGTTCTTTTGAATCTGAAAAGCTTAGCCACTTATGGGTTACTTTTTGTTCTTTCTTTCTTTCCAGTTTTTAATGTTATCACTCATGATGGAGACAAAATCAGAGATCAAGAAACCATAAACGCCATTCAAATGGTAAACTTACTGTAACAAGTGGGATAGATAACTGAGTGTTCCTTCTTTTATGAGGGTTGTGTTGTAATGTGTTTGTTAATTGCACCATGTAGAGGCTTGAAGTGGATGCGAGTTTCGTGCCATCGTTGAGAGAGTCGGTTGGTGTGATGCCCTCGGAGGATCATACTTCAATCGAGCTGTCTGGTACTGACAGGCCTGGTTTATTGTCTGAAGTTTGTGCTGTTCTTGCGGACCTTCACTGCAATGTTGTAAATGCTGATGTTTGGACACATAATAGTAGAGCTGCAGCTGTGGTACGTGTGACTGATCACGATACTGGCCGAGCAATCGAAGACACGCAGCGGCTCTTAACAATCAAGGAGTTACTATGCAATGTTCTAAGAGGGAGTGGCGAGTTAAAGGAAGCGAAAATGACCCTTTCTCCTCCTGGGGTCACCAGCACAGACAGAAGGCTGCATCAGATCATGCTGGCTGATCGAGATTACGAAAGGGCTGGCAAAGCCAGGCTTGGGGTTGAAGATAAGAACTTGAGACCCCATGTTACTGTCTTGGATTGCGCCGAGAAGGATTATACTGTGATTACTACAAGATCTAGAGATCGGCCGAAGCTGATGTATGATGTTGTTTGCACTTTGACAGACATGGAGTATGTGGTCTATCATGGAATGGTAAACACTGGGAGCATGGAAGCTTATCTGGTAATTCCAAGGCCATTTTTCGTCGAAACTAGTTGAGCTATTTAAGTTTTTAGGCTCGGTTATGATTTAAAGGAAAATGGTTACTGCTTTTTCAGGAATTTTATATCAGACATAAGGACGGGCTGCCGATTAGCTCCGAAGCCGAAAGAGACCGAGTATTGCATTGTCTTGAAGCAGCCATTGAAAGAAGGGAGTCTGAGGTAGAAGAGAGGCCATTTTTGAGTTTCTTATCCTTATTGTTTGAAGGTAAAGCATAGGCAATAATACATTATCCTGTCTGCTTTCCTTTGCAGGGGCTTAAGCTAGAACTGTATGCAGAAGACAGAGTTGGGCTTCTATCAGATATCACAAGAATATTTAGGGAGAACAGCCTATGCATCAGGAGGGCAGAAATCGTCACCAAACGTGGAAAAGCCAAAGATGTTTTCTATGTCACCGACATGACGGGAACTGCCATCGACGTGAAGGCCGTTGAGTCCATTCGCAAACAGATCGGTGATGCCATGCTGCAGGTGAAACACAACTCATGGCTCTCCGAAACGCCTCTGAAAGAGACGACGACAGGATTCTTCTTGGGAAACTTGTTCAAAGCAAGAACTTTTCAGAATTTCAAATTGATAAGATCCTACTCTTGAAAGCAGCAGCTGCTCTGCTCTGCCCATTGTGTGTATATTCCTTCAGAAGTAGAAAAAGATGCACAGATACATGACAAGTTCAAGGGACAGTGTAAATATATAGGAATCCTTCTCCTATCACCCTTATAAGTGAGGGTTTGCTACAATGTTCTCATATTGTAGGCAATAAACCCAAAAGAAACCAGCCACCTTGTACTGAAAGGCAAGTTGGTTGGGATGTATGTCTGTACAAACCAGTGTAGTGTATGGTACATTAGACGCTGTTTCTACAGAATTGTAGAAGACTGTAAAGCTATAATTATTGGGCTCAATGGAAGTGGATGCAGACTATGCTCTAATTGTTGTATTTCAGTCGTGTGCTTCTCGGTTGTGAGATCCTATATTGGTTGGAGAGTGGAATGAAACATTCCTTTTAAGAATGAGAAAACTTCTCCCTAGTAAACGCTTTTTAAAATCCTGAGGAAAAGCCCTTAAAGGGAAACCCCAAAGAGTCAAAACCTTGAGGGAGAGTTCTTTTATCTCCAAGGAAGACAATATTTACTAGTGGTTTGCTTGGATGGTTACATTGGAGAACTAAAGACTAAACTCAAAAGACGATAATACATAATAGGTTACTCTTAAAAGGAAGGGCATTCAATCTTGGGTATATATTTTACTAAGAAACAGAGCAAGAAGAGACCGATCCTTACGAAGTGTCAGCTGAAAAATGGATACCTAAAACATGTTACTTAGCAAGCAGAACCTCTAGCATGTGCAAACCTTTGAACTAAATCAGCATTTCTTCAACCCCAACCCTCCATAGAAACGCAACGCACCAAATCCAAGAGTGTTACATTTAAGAGACATTTCATCGAATACCTTGTGGGCATGCGCAAAATACCCATCATAAGCAAGGGCAGTCAAAAGCAAATTACATGGTTCGTATCCATTAATGTCAGTAACTGAAGTAATGTCATTAAAAACCAAAAAAAAGCATCATGGGTCTTCTTGCCAATGATCAACGAATCAAGAACAGAGCAATAACCTGACAAATCGAGGTTAATTTTCTGAGTTTTTACCTGTTTCAAGAGACTGTGGATGGCCCCACAGTTTGGTAAGTAGATATCTTGATCTCAAAGCAACGTTAGTGTTCGCCACATTCATTATATTCTTACAAAAATATTGAATATCTAGCCCAAACCTCTTTTTACCTAAGTTGGTGTCAATTCTGGGTCCAAGTTTTGAAGTCCAAGACGATGCCCATTTGAAGTATTAGGCTTAATAATTCTGGCGGGTCGCCAATTGTTAGGATCGAATCTCTGTTCGATACTTCCACAGGGCAAAAAGAAAATCGAAACGCTTCCTTGTTCATTAACGCTTCCGTACTTCCCTTAACTTCAAGCCATCTCCACCAAATCCGTCTTCGAAAGTCGTAGCCACTACCATCTTCTGCAGAACCGCATCGCGGCGCCATGGATAATCGGAAAGTCGTCGTCTGCGACAATGGCACTGGGGTATCTCCTTCTTCTTTAAATCATTGTTTCAATCTACTGTTTCGTTTCCCCATGATCACCTTCATCTCGATCTTACAATCCCCTGTCCAAATCTGCCAAATCATTGAGTTTCCATTTTTCTTCAACGTGCTTTGATTCGGTTGTTTAAGATTAGATTGTTCATTATTTGCAGTACGTGAAATGTGGATTTGCCGGGGAGAATTTCCCCACTTCTGTGTTTCCTTGTGTGGTGGGAAGGCCACTGCTTCGCTATGAAGAATCACTCATCGAACAAGAGCTTAAGGTTTGCAATTTCCCTTTGTATTTTGAGCTAATGGAAGAGTTGAAATGTTCGTGGTGCTCCTCGATTTTCTTAATATCTTGACTGATTTCTCATTTCTATAATTAGCTCGACCATGAACTGTAGTCATGATCTTTGTTTGTGATCTCACTCTGAAAGGTAGTTTGTCTATGAACATAACTTTCCAACATTCAATCCGATTGTTAGGGATAATTGTATTTACTACTCCATAGAGCAGAAGGGGGAATGCTCATTGTTTTCGTGGTTAAAGGGTGATTTCTATGTTAGGAATCACGACTCTCCACAATGGTATGATATTGTCCACTTTGAGCATAAGCTCTCATGGCTTTGCTTTGGGCTTCCCCAAAAGGCCTCATCCCAATGGAGATAGTATTCCTCACTTATAACCCCATGATCTTCCACTAAATTAACCAATGTGGGACACTCCCAATCCCAATAATCCTCAACATTCTATTCGATTAAACGAGCGCTGTTTAAATATTCTCGCTGCTCGAAAAATAGAGTATACATGTTCGTTTCCCATGTAAAGATTATCTTTTATGAGCTTAGGAATTGCATTTTAGTGAATCCATGATATTTTCGGCCTGGATGTCTCAGTTTATGGAAAGAGTGATCCTGAGGTTAGTAGCTTTGTATTCGATTGTTAGATCCCACATCGGTTGGAGAGAGAAACGAAACATTTCTTACAAGGATGTGGAAACCTCTCCCTCGTAGACGCGTTTTAAAACCGTGAGGCTGATGACTATACGTAACGGGCCTAAGCGGACAATATCTGCTAACGGTGGACTTGGGTTGTTTCAAATGGTATCAGAGCTAGACACCGGGTAGTGTGCCAGTGAGGACGCTGGGCCCTCAAGGGGGGTGGATTGTTAAATCGCACGTAGGTTGGAGAGGGGAATGAAACATTCCTTATAAGGGTGTGGGAACCTCTCCCTAGTAGATACGTTATAAAACCATGAGGCTAACGACGATACATAATGAGCCAAAACGGACAATATCTACTAGCGGTAAGCTTGGACTGTTACATCGATTATTCATTCTCAAAGTCTTCTTCCTGAATTACTATAGGACATTGTTGTTGGAGAAAGCTGTGCAGATTTGCGTCATCAACTTGATATAACTTATCCAGTCCACAATGGTATTGTACAAAACTGGGATGATATGTGTCATGTGTGGGACCATGCATTTTTCAACGAACTGAAGGCAAGTTTTAGCTATTATGTGCAGTTTATATTCATCCCATGCACAAATCATAATGTTAATTGCTTTTGTGTTTTCTGTCAATAGATAGACCCAAAAGAATGTAAGATTTTGCTCACGGATCCACCTCTCAATCCTTCGAAGAATCGTGAAAAAATGGTTTGTGACCTTCGATTTTCTTTCAAATTTTCTTTTACTGGATTTAACGACTAGGGTCGATATAACCTTACAGGTTGAGACGATGTTTGAGAAGTACAACTTTTCGGGGGTCTTCATTCAAATCCAAGCAGTTCTAACTTTGTATGCCCAAGGTGCTTATAAGGATGAATGAAGGTCAAAATTGTGCTTAGTTATTTTCTCTGTCTCTATTGGCGCACCTTTCCTTAGATTTTTGGTTAGCATATTGTAATTTTTTAATCGAAAAGTACGTTTCGTTACAACGGTGAAATGGCACGCCCCTACGATAAACATCCTCAAATTCACTCTAGCTTTTCATGTAATTCTTCACTCATTATTTTACTCTCACAGGTTTACTGACTGGGTTAGTCATCGACTCTGGCGACGGTGTCACTCACGTGGTAAATAATTTACCAAATCGTTTCGTAAATTTCAGTGGATACTTTTTTCTCATCCATTTGCTACTCATTGAGCATAGTACATTTGTTTATCATTAAAGAGTCAATCATTTTTGAGATATAAAGTTTATGTGGAGAGTGCAGATTGAGTTTGATGGTTAACAACCTTTTACAAATTTGTTCTTCAGGTTCCAGTTGTTGATGGCTACTCATTTCCTCATCTTACAAAAAGAATGAATGTAGCTGGCCGACACATTACTTCATACCTTGTTGATTTACTCTCACGAAGAGGGTGAGGGTTTTTTTCCATAGCACGGTCGATATGAATCGATTGATTGTTTCTTTAGCTAACACGTGCGACTTCTTGAAGGTATGCGATGAATCGGTCTGCTGATTTTGAGACTGTTAGGGAAATCAAGGAGAAGCTCTGCTATATAAGGTGAACTAACCAGCTTGACGTCGTATGCTTTGCGATATGTGCTTATTGACCACTTTTTGATGATATATATATATATATATATGTGTGTGTGCAGTTATGATTACAAGAGGGAATATCAAATGGGGCTTGAAACCACCATTCTTGTCAAGAACTATACTGTAAGTCACCTCTTGTGAATTGTGCTAAGAATTAATATTAATCATACTCGTAATGGTAACCACCTTTTGCTTTTATGTTATCTTAATTTCACGTGGATGAGTTATCTTGGCCAGCTTCCAGATGGAAGGGTAATCAAAGTTGGCACCGAACGTTTTCAAGCTCCTGAGGCGCTCTTCACTCCAGTAAGAATGGGATGGGTTAACATAATATTGGGGACGGGTTATAAAGAACATTAGTTTTTACTTCTTATTATAAGAATGGGACATAACGTTGATTAAAGCAATGAAATTCTCTGTTTCATGCAGGAACTGATAGATGTTGAAGGGGATGGGATGGCAGATATGGTTTTCCGCTGCATTCAAGAAATGGATATCGATAATCGGATGATGGTATGATCAGATTTCTCCTATGTTTTCAAGAAATAATATCTTTCTTTTGGTACCCTTTTGATGAATATTATTGGTTTGCAGCTTTACCAGCATATTGTTTTAAGTGGCGGGAGCACAATGTATCCTGGATTACCTAGTCGGTAATGTGTAGCTCTTCTTGGTCTGTGATTATATTATTCTTTTACCCTCGACCTATAGGCCGAGTTTCCGTGTCAGTCACATGTCAGACATGGATACGTCTGGACACACTCCGAACACGTGTCCGATGTGCTATTTTACGTGTCCTTCGGACATGGCTAGACACGACTTATGCATTATTGTTGAAACACCATCGAAATGTTGATAAAATGGTGATTGATTGTAATGATATTCAGTTTGGAGAAAGAAATACTGGACCGCTATCTCGATGTCGTCTTGAAGGGAAACAGAGATGGTTTAAAGGTAATATGTAATCTTTGTTGAGTTCTTGACTTTAACCTGGGAAAGTAAAACACAATTTACTTGTATGTTTAATGATCTGTGGGTTTTAGAAACTGAGATTGCGGATAGAGGATCCGCCAAGAAGGAAGCACATGGTGTATCTGGGCGGCGCAGTCCTAGCAGGAATAATGAAGGTAGATGACATACATACCCATAGCGCATTCTAAACCATTTGATTCAAGAAGTAAAAGGGATTAACTGTTGTTGACACATCCAGGATGCGCCTGAATTTTGGATCAGCAGGGAAGATTATCTTGAAGAAGGTGTTGCTTGTCTAAGCAAATGTGGGCAGGCTTGACACCTTTTGGGATCAATGGCCTCCTTCAAGATTGCTCCTCAGACTACAATTTAATGACTTAGCTTATGAAATGAAGACAGGATTGATCGATTATGTGAGTGATAAAATGGAATAATCTTGTGTTCTTATGTTGTTTGAATGTTGGTTACGTTGAAGATACAATCAATCACAGATTTATTAGTTGACTTTTCTATTTCCTTACTACTGCCGACGAGAATCAAACATTCTTTATAAGAGTGTCGAAACTTCTCATAACAAACGTGTTTTAAAAATCCTGAAGGGAAGCTTGAAAGGGAAAGTCCAAGAGAACAATATCCGCTAGCAGTAGACTTGGACTTTTACAAATGGGTAAAAACCTCTCTTTAGCATGCGCCTCGAGGGAAAACTCGAAAATAAAGCCCAAAAAAACAATAACAATATTAGAAATTATCCACCAAGAACGTTCTTTACTTCACAACACAAAGCGTAAGAATACAGAGAATAAAACAAGTTAGTGTCTCTCTTCAAAAATATCTTCTTCCTCAACGACAGATCCATCATGAAGACTAAGTCTTGTAATCTTGTAATTGTCCTCTTGTCCCACTAATCCCTTCCTATTTGTTTTTCTCCCTAGTCTTTACAAACCCCTCTTGGCTTTTGCAACCCCATATCAATTCTATTTGGAAATTTCCATTCTTTCCCTTTCCTATTTGTTTTTCTCTCTATTTGTTTTTCTCTCTATTAATAATGATGTCATACTAAATCTGTAATAGTCAAACCTCGCTGTTAGTAGATATTATCTGCTTTGCTCTGACCCGTTACATATCGCCTTCAACCCACGATTTCCAAACACGTTTACTGGGCTCTCACATCAAACCAACGTGAGATCTCTCACAAAATTACGTGCAAATATGGAAGAAAGATGAAGATTAGACATGTGGGGGTAGGTGCATGCATGCCATGAAGGGAAGGGGGGGGGGGGGGGGG